GTGAGTTCTAGTAGCGGGTGGGGCTGGCACCCCACTCCCCCCATTCACCAATTTAATTTAATACTACAGTCTGGTTGGTGATAGGGATGTCTTAAGACACAGGAAGTACCTGGCTTCATGGTGGTGCTCTCTTAGAACCTGTCTTCTTCACTATGAAATGGTGTAGCCAGACCGAGCCTCTGAGAGCTGCTGGGGGCATAAAAGGAGTCCAGACTTGCAAATGCATGGCCCCTGGTGTCACCACCAGCAGACGCCTGCAGGGCCATGGGCCTGGACACCTGGGTGCGCTGGGGAGAAGAGAGCTGTGGGCTGGGGGGACAGAGAGGAGCAACGAGGCCCGGGAGGCTGATCGGTCTGTGTGCCTGGGGCAGTGCGTGGGCTGCAGCGTGAGGACCAAGCTGGAGAGGGGAGGGAAGGCTGAGCGATGGGAGGGCTGGAGCTGGACGAGGGACACCGTGACAACGGGGAGGGCAGCCGATGGACGGCCACATGCCCAGACAGGGGCAGGCCAGGAGACAGCTGAAAGGCAGAAAAGCCCTCAAGGGGAGCCCAGGGTGCCTGGCAGCCCACGGACCTAAGGGGCGGCCCTCCCCATTGCTGGAGTGCCCTGGGTCTGCTCATGAACGGTTCGGGCCAAAGCCAAGGCCATGTGCCAGTGAGCCTGGGCCACTGTGGCCTGGAAGGATGAGGTCACAGGCCCAGCCCTGGGCCCCCACTTCAGTGTGTTAGTGCAGTCCTGCTGGGATGTCCAGCTTAAGTGGGCAGCTCTTGCCTCATCGCAGGCTGATCTGGGGGCCGGGCTGCAGGTTGCAGCTTAGGAAATGAAGAGTGGATCTTGGCCAGGCCTCACCAAGGCGTCCCCTCAGTGCGGGCCCAGCGGAGACTCCCGGGGGACAGTGAGGGTACTGCTGCACCTTGGAAACAAGCTCAGGGGACGAGGCCTGGGGCAGGGGCCACGCGATGCCTGGTCCCCAGAGGAAGCATCTAGCAGACGCCGCTTGCAGATGGAGCAGCCTGTGCCGGCAGTTCCCAGGGTGGGGGCAGGGGTACGCTGGGAAACGGAGGGGGCCCGCAGGTGGGCGGGTGCGGGAGACGTGACAAGGCACATGCTTCCTCGTATATGTATTTAGGCCAGGCGGAGACTTTAAAACACGAAATAAAGACAAATCTGTAAATGACTCAAATGAGACTCCCAGTAAAACAAACAACACACAAACAAAGTGCAGTGACCGAGCCCACGCAGCTGAGACTCTCGCTCCTGGGTGGCGACGGGCGACCCATGGCCCAGGGGCCACCTGGCGTGGGTGACTCACGGACTCTGGGCTGAGTTCCTGCGGTGAGCGCCAAGGCCCAGTCGGATGATGTCGCGGTGGTGGATGGTGCTCACTCAGGGCATGGGCTGCGTGTGGACCCTCCAGAGCTCCTATGCCACAGGAGAGGGAGGGGCTTTGAGTGGGAACCTGACCCCCGGGAGGGACCTGGAGCGGCTTCCCAGGGCT